GTCATTTAAACTCTCGATTTTGACATAAGCATATGTGTTTGGTCGTTTACAAATAGACTTTTATGAATTGGATATTGGACTCTGGAGTTTGGACTGAAAGTGTTTAAAAACTACTTTCAGGAGATATCAGGAAATTTGTGGGGCAAAACCAAGTAACATGTGTTTGTTCTTATTGCTAGCATGGCTGATTCTGGAGAACCTCAAAACTCTTAGCAAGAACGGCAACAGTCTGAGTCGGGTGAAAACTTTTCTTTGAGTACAACTTAATTAGGTGTGTTGTCTGTGTGTTTGTTTTATTGTTTCTTTTCTTTTCTTTTTTTGGTGAATTTCTTTTTATTTTCTAGTATGTCTCATACTATTGTGTTTTTTCAGTTTGCAACTTCTTTGGGGAGCCAACAAAAACAAAAAAAAAATTAGAAAAAGGGCAGTGGAAGAGGATGAAGATGAAGATTGAGGAAGTGCACCATCCTTGTTGCAGAATCAGAAAAAGGCCCTTAAGCCTGACACTTTCAACTGGAGCCTCTAAGAGTAGTTCCACAACTGAACCAGACCCCGAATCCAACAAACCAATCTTCCAGTTTGAGTCTTCAAAGGAAATAAAAATTCAACATGAAAGCAAAGCAACTGCAACCTTAGAAACTGAGACCGAGTTTACAAGAGATGCTCAGGCTATACGTGAGAGAGTTCTTAAGCACTTTGAGGAGGCTTTGAAGGGAAAAAGCACCGGCCCTGGAGATGAGAAGTTATATGAGGGCATCCATGGGTATGTTGATCATAAAGCTGGGCTTCGAAGGGAGCAAACAGTTTCTAGTGAGAAAGCTGGAGGGGCACATTGGCCTCTTAGGGCATTTGCTCACATTAGGGTATCAGCAAGGTTTGATTATCAGCCAGATATTCGTAAAGACTCTGTTTCTAATTAGTATCTGTTGGCTTTGGCTTTGTTTCTGAAAGCAATGTTTCATCAAGGTGGTTAGTGCCCGAGGGAGGGAGGGAGGGAGAGATCATCCCATCAAACTTCCAAGTAGTTACCGGATAAACAACCACTTACATTCAAGAAAGTATGGTTATCTAACTCCAAAAAAGGTCTAGAGAATTTGTCCTTCATGCAACATGTGCTTGCTATCCATTTTAGTTTTCTTTTCAAACATCTTTTAGATAGGATAAAACAGAAGACAAAAAGAACAAGAAAAATAAAATAGCATAACAGAAAGAATTCAATTCAAGACTCGAGAAAAAAAAAATAGCACTAAAAAATTATATTTCCAAGATTATTTAATTTATATATAACAATTAACAAATACAGTTACAATAAAGATAGGCAGAACCCTCAAATCACCCCCTGACAAATATGGGTAGGGACGGATCCACCCCTCCAAAAAAAGCAGGGACAAATGACACTCCCAAAGTATCGATTTGGTCAAATCGATCATTATGTAACAGGTGACGTCATCACCGTCACGATATCCGTTTAGCCCGTGCCAGCGTGTCATTTTTTTATACGCTTGATGCTGATGTGTACCAATTTCGTCACGATCTCCAAATCCCTTAACACTAACATGGGGTTCCCAATTTGCAGTTAGGTCCCCGCCCAAGTCCAAATCCCTAACTCTGTAATTCATTTCACCTGCTCCGATCATCTTCTGTACTGCCAAATTTTAAAAATGGAGGAATTAGTTGCCGTGATTCTGTCTATGCTTCTTGTTGTTGCTTTGATTCCGTTGTATCTATGGAAACGCCGGCAGGATTCGGGATCACCTCAAGAACACGAAGAAGACCGTCAGGTCCATTTCTTTCCCCCTTTTTCTATTTCACGAAATTTGCGCATTTATTCAATGTTTGAAGGTTTCCCAGATGAGCAAATTCTGGGCTTTTTGTTTGTTTCTTATTCCCTGGTGTCGGTTTCAGGTTCCAATGAGGGAAGCTGTGGTTGGCGCCATTGGTGCTCGTAGGATGCGTAGGAGACCAGCCGTTGGAGCTAGCACATCATCAGCTGCAGCTGCAGCTTCAAGCACTGCAAGTGCTGTACCATAACCCTTGACCCATAATCAAATGCGCAGATCCAAGAAAGTTATGATCTAAAAAAAATTACCTCTGCATTCCTAGCTGAACGAGTTCGTCAATGGCCGAGTCCAAGGCTACGCGATCCTCCTTCTTGGCCAACAACTTAACCTCTTGAACCACATGAACACGCCATCCGCTCCTCAGATCCGCGAGTACATATGCCTAATTACCTTGTTTATCGACTCTCTCTCATCCTCGATAACAGATCTAAGGTCCTCCACGAACAGCTTCACTGCCCGCCTCCGGAGCTCCCGCGCATCAATCTCACGAGCCATAGCCCTCTGCGATGCGGTGAATAGGCAGTTCCCATCCGGCGAAACCTCACCTCCATGCGACAGCCGGAACACGACCGCGGAGCCGTGATCCCTGGGCTGCTTCCAGAGAACTCCCTGGGCATGGAGCTTCTGTAGGTACCGTCTCTGCTAGTCCTCGAGCCCAACCACATCGTCCCACGTTGCCGCCGCGATAGTTGTTACCTCTGTCTGGTCAACGAGATCCACGGCCTCTAAATCCGATGACTGTGGTTCCCTCCATGACACGGTCAGTGATGAAGTTTGAAAAGTCTCCGCAATGGTTGTTGAATCACAAAGTAATTTCCCCATTTTTTTCCTAAAGAGCGGAATTGGTACACATCGGCATCCAGCGTGTAAAAAAATGACCCGCTGGCACGGGCTAAACGGAGATCGTGACGGTGATGACGTCACCCGTTAGATAATGATCGATTTGACCAAATCAATACTTTGGGGGTGTCATTTGTCCCTGCTTTTTTTGGAGGGGTGGATCCGTCCCTACCCATATTTGTCAGGGGGTGATTTGAGGGTTATGCCATAAAGATAAAGAAAAGATTGTGAGGGACAGAAGAAGGCCTGCCAATCTAGTGACCCAATAATTTAATGTAAGTCTTTTTTATCATGACAAGGGTTCGATTCCCTTCCCGCTCCCTCCCCCTCTTCCTGAACCACTTGCCCTAATCATGAAAAAAAAAAAAGGATTGTGAGAGAGGTTGAGGAGACATGTTATATCCCTTATTAACTATTGCTTCAAACTAAATAGATTGGTGTGCAAGCATATTGATTGAAAGTACAAATTGAAATGCAATTAAAAATTGCTGACCTTTGCAGTCCACCTTTACAAACATTCATGCACAATTTGCTGTTTGTTGGGTCAGATTGTGGTGCTGCAAACATGATATCATCCATCCACTATAAACTGGTCATCTTGATTATCTCCATCAACCCTAGCATCCCCATGAACCATACCATTCACATGGTGCATCATCTGGGAAAGATAATGGTTATTGGCACCAATATGGTTAGACTTATTTTCCAATTAGATTCTTAATTAAATCTTTATTGAAATATAATAACAAATTCTAATAAATATAAACTATTAGTAATATTTTCATTTAATTCATTTATATTCGTAATTATAATAAAATAAATTTTTAAATTTTGAATTTAATTTTAATTAAATAAAATAAAATAATTTAATGTTAAAATTTCAATTATTTTGATAACTCTTTTTTTGACACATTAAGACTACCAAAAAAACTAGTCCTCTACTATACAACATCAAACTCTTAACCTAAGAGCCTGTAGGTATAAATTAGTAATAACTACATCAAAGTAACGGATCCTGTCCTTCCCCAAAATCGCAAAACCAATATGGCAACCTATTGTGATTATAACTTATCGCACACGGACGAAATCATTTTTTTTTTTAAAAGGGCATTTTTTTTTTGGTTTTTCGTCCGGTGTTCAGGGTTTCGCCCCGACTAATCTAGATTGACCCGCGTCGCGCACCTGGAAATGGTGGGTGAATCTCCTAACAGAAGCTGCTGCATTTACAAGGTCTCAAACTCGAGACCTTACTTAAGTTGAAACAAACCGCTTACTATTTGATCTAACCCCTCATTGGTTAAAAAAAAAAAAGAAAAAAAAAAAAAGAAGGCATTTTGAGTCACACATGAGGGGGATAAAAAAGGGAGGGTAGTGACGTAACATGCGGTATAATTTTTTTTTATTAACTTTTATTTACAATTTTATCTGAATATATAAAGAGACTTTGAGAAAGACTACTTGGAGAATTTAGATTCTTTTTTAGTATTAAACTTTTTTAATATTTAAAAATTACATTAACTTTTAATTAATTTAAAGTCAATTTACGTCAAAATTCATCAAAAAAAGACTTGAACTTATAAAGAGAAAATTATCTTAATATCTAATCACTTTATTCAAAAGAATTAAACTCAAAATTTTATTTAAAAATAATTTTTTAAATGCATGACGTACCAGAAATTCTTCTTTTAAAATAAGCTTTAAAATTCAAAAAAGTAATGCTGTTACCATGTCAAATTCTTACATCTTCTCATATACCACAGCAATAACTAAATGATCCAAAACGTCAAAAAACAACTGAAAATAGACATCATCTGCCTTTTTTTTTTTTTTTTTCAGCATAGACATCATTGGCTTAATCTTATGTTTCACGTTATGCTTCCAGGCAAAATGATACCAAACATAATATAGGAACTAAGTTACAAACATTGATGCATCATTACAGCTATTATTCCCAAAAAACATATATGTAGCCAGCCAGAGCAACTGGTTCAACACCATTGAAAAATCGAAGGAATCAAATCCGCTTCATAGGTGATGAAGAATCTGTGAATTATCAGGTAGTAAATGTTTTTACCATTTTACCATTCCAGGACACTTCTGGCCATTCAAATTTTCATTAAACAACTTCCTCTACACCTAGTCAAGCTTGACATTAGAATACAGAAGGGTATCCCTCGTCAGGGGCATATTAAGAAGGAAGTAAACCTGAAGCAGGAGAATAAAAAAATCAGTGCATCAGCTCTCAACCGGAAAACAAGCAGTAGTTGATTGATTTAAGAGGGACACTGACTGAGAGAAGTTAACAGTCATGCAAAGTTTATTAACTATGATAAAAATCAAAATTAACCAAGACAAAAATCCAAATATGATCACTGTTACAGGTGCTAAATTTTCTTGGCATCTTAATGTTTGTGGTATCATTCACTCCAATGTCCCACTAAACCACATCTTATTATCTGATTTCAAATTGTCAACGTTCAAAGCAGTAATTGAACCTGGTTTCCATTAAACTTGTATATTCCATTATTCCTCGAAAAACCAAAGGATAGACATGCTCTAAATTTAACATTCTAACTCAAAGAATCCTAAACTAAATTTGGCCCAAGCCAAACAAGTGCATTTATTTCTGGGATCCCCTAAAGAAATGTGACCAGGAAACGAAAGTACATGACAAATATTCAATCAAGCCCAGTAACAAAATTACTCTAAGTAACTGAACTATATGTTTGTATTACTCAGGAAGGTCATAGGTTGTGTAGCCAAAAGGATTAATTTCGAATTAACCGTTATATTTTCTAGTCTGGGTACTTACAGTGATATGCAAGTATAATGAGAAAAGGTTGGATTGAAGACTGACTAGAAAACTCTTGAATAAAAATGCTTTTCAATTCAATCAAGCATAAAACCAGAGCTTACCCCTAAAAGAGTTGCAATGATAAGAACAATCCCTGTTACCCAGGCAAGGGTCCTTCTAACCAACACCACCTCTAGTGAAGTGGCATTAGGGGGGCTTTTAGTTTCTGCCAACCAACGTGGAGAAGGATGAGAGGAAACCCTAACATTCAACAATGTTTCTGATTGTGGAGAAGGCATCCCTTTAAAAAGTATAACTCCAACAATTTGACCTGATCAATTGTTAACTCAATTAGATGAACAATTCAAAGAAAATTTGAGAAGACTGAAATTAATACTCTCAAAACTCATGCAATGAGATATATAAATCAAATGTTTGCTATAATAGCCCAAGAAACAGCTAGTATATAAAAATATAACTAAAAGCATGAATGCACAAACCAAGTAAAGTTATATGAAACCAAAGATCATAAGGCAAGAAAAATATAGAAAAACCCCAAACGGACACTAAGACTATCCTATTTCCTTATGGCTGTGGCTGAATGAATAGAAGGTCTGCCTGTTCAGTTGACAGAGAAAGGACAACCAGTTATTTCTTACTCTAATAATTATTATGGTAGAGGTCACTTTCCTAAAATGATTTATAACGCATCTGACCTTTATAAGCTGTCTGCAATGAATCATAAATCTTGGAAAGAGTTGCCAGTAAAAGCCCCATTCCTTGCTTAGCAACATAATCAGCATCATATTCCTCCTGTAAAGCCTGTAATATTTAATGAAAACATTAAGAAGTATTAGGGGTGAAAAATGGAGTGATAAATCATGAAAAAGATGGCATAAACAAAAGGCAGCAAAACCCTTCCAATAGCATGGATATGCACACCTAGATAGATAAAAAATTGCCAATTATGTGCTTTCCTCCAAACTCTAGTTATAGCCATAATAAGTTGTAGATGAATATTTTAACACATGAACTAATGCAAGGAGCAATTGCCACATGAGGCCAAGCAAGCATGATATTTAAGATGCAAATTATGGGTAGGAAATATACATTTGTAAGAAAATAACTGAGAGAGATATCATTCATACACAAGCAGGATGGTTAAATTTAGTTTATATAGATATTAGATATGACAATTTTCATTCCAGTATAAGAGATGACTTATTTCTTTTGCCATGCATGAGAGGAGCTTTAATCATGCAGAAAACAACTGGATAACAATCATTGTCAACATAAATGCCCAATGAGGTATCAATCTGCAGAAACAAAGTTGAGTTTAACACAGGCCATAAAGAAAATAGAGATCAGCACCTTAATTCCATCAAAACAACCCATAATTAACTCAGCACGTCTTTGAATGTTTAGCGAAATATCTCCGTGCATCTCCATTGCCCTTCGAACATTGTCCGACAAAGCCAGAAGACTTAATACAAATTCCCTCTCTCCTTTCTGTGATATTAAAATGTAACTTTCCAATAATAAATAGGAGCTCAATATTAAGTACAAACATTAATAACTACTGTTGATGAAAAAACAAATAAAAAAGTGAGAAAAATATCAGGGTCATGAAGAGGACCTTTGACAAATGAAGATTCACATTGTCACCATTACCCAATGGAAGGGTCAATACTCCATTCAGAGGCTCAGTGGCTGCTACAACATAAGATCCACCCAACCAAGATGCCTAAATATAAACATAAATTTATCATCACAAATGTGACCAGGACAAATGATCAAACAAAGGACCATCAATACATAAATAAATTGGAACACTGGGTATGACTAACAAAATCAGCCATCTCTTTGTCAGTGTAATCACTTCTTGGAATGTTCAAAGAAACCACGGAGACTTCATCCTCGTCTGCAGGAATACACACATAACAAACAAAACTCTATTTAACAGTCCATTACACCAGCAAAGAACTGAGAAAAGAAAAGAAAAAGAAAAAAAAGCAATAAAATTTGCAATATCTAGATCTTGAAGAAAGGTCAGGTACCTGGGAGTTGAATGTCAGCTGTACTTGAACTGAGGTCGACATTACTCCTCAAGGCTTTGCCGAAGAGAGTGCGATCAAGGCCAGCGGCAAGAGAACCTGGATACAAAAAACATCGATTTAAATTCCATGTCGAGATGGGTAATGCAAAAAAATGATAAATAACAAAATTTTGAACACCAAATGCAATTACCATGGATTCCATCAACTTCAAGGGTAAAAACAGCGCGTGGCCTGTCAAATGGATTCGGGCTGAGAACCTTATTCAGCTGAAAAACAAAAATAGTTGTTGTTTTGAACCAATCATTAAACTAAAAGATGGATAGAAGAAACTGAAAGAATAATTCTTTACACATACCTTAGACGAACCAGCAGGTGAAAGACTAACAGGAGGTGCAAAACCAAGTAAGATGGACACAGCAGCACCAACTTCTTCCACTGACAGAGAATGTGACTGTGGAATGAAAAATTAAGAATTTCCCATTAGGGGAATAGTTTCTCGAACACACAGAAACACGAACAATCCCTTAGAAAAAAAATATATAAATTGATAACTTTATATGATCCTAAAAGGATTCCATGAAATTGAATCAAAGAAAGGCTAAAAGAAACGAAAATTCAAGATTAATAGCTAATAAATTGGGGAAAAAAAAACCTGATCAACAACGTTGGCTGCCGGAGTTTGAATATATTGATGCTCGGAACTGTCGATGAAAAAGACGGAGGCGGTGGTGGTAGCATGAGCCTAGATCAAAATCAATTAGATCAAATCAAATAAAATTCAAAGGAGAGAATTACGAGATGAAAGATGGATAATTTTGAGTTAGAAGAAGAGTACGAACCCTAGATAAGGAGTAGATGAGGGAAGAGAGGAAGAGAAGGTAGAAGAAGTTCATTGTTCAAGAGGGAGGAAGATTCCGATCTGTCTGGGGTTGTTCAGGGGGAGAGGTGAGAGGAAGAGGAAGGACGAAGGTCGATTTTCAGCGACGTTGTTTTGTGGCGGATGATGAGGGAAATGGGCCGGGAATTGGAGATGGATTTGAGTCATTGGACTGGAGTTGTGTCATTGGGTCAGGCCTTATTTCCACAAACAGCGCATCTCAAAGAGAGTCCAATCCAACTGCACGGGCTGCAGCTGATCTTGAAGTGCTGCTTTGTGCGTGGGGTTGGATTGGGCTTGGGGATCGCAATTTCCTTCTAT